AGAATATATCACCGAAGCATATGATGGTTGGAGAATGTTCTTCGACGAAGTAGCAAACTTCAAAGGAGTCGGTATCGGAGCTATCTTGGTATCAGAGACCGGCCAACATTATCCGGTATCCCATAAAACTCAAGTTTTCGTGCACCAACACTATGGCAGAATATGAGGCTTGCATCCTGGGACTCAGGTTGGCCATTGACATGAATGTTCAGGAGCTGATGGTGATTTGAGATTCCAATCTTTTGGTGTATAAGGTGCTAGGAGAATGGGCTAAAGAACACCAAAATATTTCCATATTTGCATTGTGTACAAGAGCTGATCAAGAGATTCATAAAGATAGAATTCAAACATGTTCCGAGGATTCAGAATGACTTTGCAGATGCATTGGCCACTTTATCTTCCATGATACAACATCCAGACAAGAAATCCATCGATCCTATCCCAATAGGAATTATTGACTTATTGTGCTCATGTTGAAGAAGAAAGTGATGGAAATCTATGGTTCCACGACATCAAAGAATACTTGGCAAAAGAAGAGTATCTGGAGCATGCAACTCATACTCAGAAGCGCACACTCCGAAGGTTAGCCAACCATTTCTTTCAAAGTAGAGGAATTATGTACAAAAGGACTTTAGACCTGGGATTATTACGGTGTGTCGACGCCAAGGAAGCATCCAAAATGCTTGAGGAAATACGTGCCGGAACTTACGGATCACACATGAATGGCTTCATCTTAGACAAGAAAATACTAAGAGGGGATATTTCTGGATGACTATGGAAACAGACTGCATCAAGTATGTTCAAAAGTGTCACCAATTCCAGATACATGCTGATATGATACTAGTACTACCCAATGAACTCAATACAACAAGTGCACCCTGGCCTTTCTCCTCTTGGGGCATGGATGTCATCGGTCCAATTGAACCCACTGCTTCAAATGGGCATAGGTTCATTCTAATGGATATAGACTATTTCACAAAATGGGTTGAAGCCCCATCTTACAAAGTTGTGACTAAGAAGGTCGTCGTAGACTTTGTTCGGGATTGTATTGTTTGTCGATTCAGAGTACCAGAGTCAATCATCACCGACAATGCCACCAATCTTAACAGTGATCTAATGAAGAACATGTGTGAAACTTTCAAGATCAAGCATAAGAATTCCACAGCATATAGGCAGCAAATGAACAGAGATGTATAAGATGCCAACAAGAACATCAAGAAGATACTGAGGAAGATGGGAGACAATTACAAACAATGGCATGAGAAGTTTTCATTTTCTTTACTTGGGTATCGTACCATAGCTCGTATATCGACTGGGGCAACTCCCTATCTATTGGTTTATGGTACTGAAGCGGTTATCCCTACCGAAGTAGAAATCCCTACTTTAAGAATTATACAACAAGCTGAGCTCAGCGATGCAAAATGGGTACAGAGCCGATACGAGCAACTAGCTCTTATTGATGGAAAGAAAATGAATGCGGTATGTCATGGTCAACTCTACCAGAACAGAATGGCAAGAGATTTCAACAAAAAGGTCAGACCAAGGCAATCCACACCGGGGCAATTGATGCTCAAGTGGATCTTCCCACATCAAGATGAAGCCAAGGGGAAGTTCTCACCTAACTGGCAAGGTCCCTACATGGTTCATCGAGTACTAACAGAAGGAGCACTTATACTTGCAGAAATGGATGGAGAGATTTGGCCAAAACTTATCAACTTAGACGCAGTCAAGAGATATGTTTAGGATTATTTACATTTCTTCACTTGATATAACTGAACTACGTTTGACCTTATTCACGTTTAAGAGGGGATACGTAGGCAAACCTTTGGGTTCGATCACATCTTAATAAAATATTCATTTTCCTCATGATCAGAAATTGGGGCAAGATTGCAAGTTCATCCAACTTTGTTAAATGTGGAACAACCAGAAGTATGCATTTAAACTAGGGTAGAATTTTTGGGGGGCCCTCAAAATTCTAAGGCAAGGAGGTCGCAATATCTCTAAAATATGTCACAGTCATCGGTTCATCTAAATTATTTGATATCACTGCAATACATTTCAAACAACTATATTTTGCAAACAATTTATCAAATGCATGCATATTTTTTGAAAACTTTATTTCTATGACAGCCAGATGTTGCCCAGGGTAACTCAAACAGTATCTCAAGATAGGAGTAAAGACAGAGCAAGAAAACAAAAGCACGAATCGACCTTCACCTCCCCCCCCCCCCCCCAAACTGACAAATTTTCTTTGGATGCAGGCATGATAAGACAATAATATCCGCAAATACATCAAGTCACTACCTTCATGATGACAAGTTATCGAACGCAAATACCTCTAGCTAAGAAATAATTTACTTTCTCACTGTCACTCATCATTTTATTGTATGAGGCTAAGCATTACCTCCGTAATTACATAAGGCTAAGCATTGTCTTTCCTTGCATGAGACTAAGCATTGTCTCTATCTCTTGCATGAGGCCAAGCATTGCCTCCCTAATTTCATAAGGCTAAGCGATGCCTTTTCCTACATGAGACTAAGCATTATCTCCTATTCTTGCATGAGGCTAAGCATTGCCTCCGTAATTGCATAAGGCTAAGCACTGCCTTTCCTTGCATGAGACTAAGCATTGTCTCCATCTCTTGCATGAGGCCAAGCATTGCCTCCCTAATTGCATAAGGCTAAGCACTGCCTTTCCCTGCATGAGACTAATCATTTTCTCCTCTTCTTGCATGAGGCCAAGCATTGCCTCCCTAATTGCATAAGGCTAAGCACTGCCTTTCCCTGCATAAGACTAAACATTGTCTCTTCTTCTTGCATGAGGCTAAGCATTGCCTCCATAATTTCATAAGGCTAAGAACTGCTTTTCCTTGCATGATATTAAGCATTGTCTCCATCTCTTGCATGAGGCTAAGTGTTGCCTCCCTAATTGAATAAGGCTAAGCACTGCCTTTTCTCGCATGAGGCTAAGCATTGTCTCCTCTTTTTTCATGAAGCCAAGCATGGCCTCCCTAATTGCATAAGGCTAAGCATTGTCTTTCCCTACATGAGACTAAGCATTGTCTCCTCTTCTCGCATGAGGATAAGCATTGCCTCCTTAATTGCATAAGGCTTAGAACTACTTTTCCTTGCATGAGACTAAATACTATCTCCACTACGCTACCTAAGACCTAGCACTATCTTTTTGTTCACCTAGGGATAAGCACTGCCTTTATCTCACACAAGACTAAGCCTTGTCTTGTCTCGTGTTCGCATATGACCAAGCATCGTATCATTGCATTTCATAGGCTGAAATATTGCCATTTTGTCCGAAGGTGTCATAGTCCAATGGTATCATCCTCATAGCCGGAAGACACCATTCTATGGCCTGAGGATCTTTCAAAATTGCATATCATTATTCAAAGGCGTCATAGTCACGAGGCACCATCCTCATGGCTCGAGGACACCATTTCATGGCCTGTGAATCCCTTATCATACGCTTTATTGCCCAGGACGTCATGGTCTAAGGACATCATCCTCACTGTCCAAAGACAACATTTGGTCCAAAGGGAATTTGCATCACATTTAAAAATTTTGCAATAACCCATATATATTTACATGCAGTCTGATTTAAATTTTGTAGGTACTCCAGGAGGAAAACTATTCTACAAACAGGAGAAATCTTCGCTCCGATTTCAGTTCATAACGTTCGCATCCTTCAGTTGTTTCAAACGTAATCGACTACCAGCAATCACCCACCATTTACTCTATGACCGTTCGGGTATTTGCTCTGTGATACATCCATAATGTTTCAAATTCACATTCTAACTCCGCATAAATTCATCTGATACTATTCTATCCAAAAGAACCCTTTCCAAGACATACGACCATTCTTATAACAACTCCATTGATTTCGTTCATCTTTGGCACCAGAACTACACACGGCCTGATTCCCGTAACATCAGGGATATGTAGGCAACTCATGAACCAGGGTTCGGCCCCCATTTTTTTAAATCACATCATTCCTCATTCAATTCGACCAAAATTTGTCATCATTTTCTTTATCCGACAACTCTTTCATTATTCCCGGGTAAAGAGGGGGAGCTGTTGATACCCAATTTTTCCCTCATATTTTCTCAAATAGTATATATACCTTTCAAAACATCATAATTCATCATTATTTAGTTTACAAAATCTATACAAGCATTTTCTATAATTTTTCATAATTTTTAAAGCTTTAAAATTGATTTTCTTGCATTTAAATTACTTGAATACTTATTAATTACTCCTTCAAATTATTTTGTGATGACTTAATTACCTAAAATTATTATTTTTCATCTATAATACACGTTTCAAATATTTTTACTTTATTTTATTTAATTACATTAGTATTTTTAATCCATTTGCACAATCTTGCAATAATAGTCTATATTTTACAATTTTATTTCATTTGTCATATTATTCAAGGTCAAAATAATATCTTATATTTTTATAATATTTTACTATTATTTTAAAGTATTAATTTGCATAAATAGCATTTTTATAATTTATTTAACTATTTTTATTAAATTAATTTCCTATTTTAAAATCTGGCCCAAAATTGAGACTAATTTCGGACCAATTAAGGTCCAATTGAACCCCTGACCCAATAACCCACTACTAGAAATTGGACCTATGGGAACGGATATGTTCGCAACGGTTACATAACCGTAGCAATAGAGTTCTATTGCCACGGTTATAACCGTTGCATAAGGGGTTTGGTGCTATTGAAACATTTTTGCCGTCAAACTGTTGCATTAGTTTAAGCATCGTTGCAATATGGGTACTTGTGCAACGATTTTGGTAACCGTTGCAATAGAGTAAACTGTGGCAACGGGTTTTTGGTAAAAATGCCAATTGGAACGGTTATTAGTTGCCTCCTTATTTTTCCTTCTAATTTTGATGGTCCCGCCCGAAAAATTTCTATTTTTATTCTTAATAATAATATTAATATCTTTAGGCCCACTTTTTTTCTTAAACCCAGGTAGCTTCGAAACATATCAAAATAAAGTTTTAACTCTCTCAGAACTAAATAACGCATAGCTTCAAACACTTCTTTGTAGCTTCAATCACAGATGAAGAAAGTATTTGAAGAACACATCTCAAAATGTATATAGCTTCAATCACATCAAAGTAGGCTAAAACACTCTCAGTCTTGTGGAGGTTACCGAACATCAAGAAGAGGTAGGTCATGAAAGAGCTCAGATCTAGGTTTCTCCTCCATGAGGACTTTGGGGGTTTATTCTTTAATTCATTTCTTTTTTGGCTTATTAATTTCTTGTTGAGTTTATTATTTTGCTTTTGATTTAAGCATAGAATCTAAATTGGGTATTAGTTTATTTAGGGCTATTGGGAAAGGAGGGAAAATGAGATTTGCTATAGAGAATGCGACAAAGACGAGTATTGTGATTGCGGATACAAAGATACATATATTGAGATCGTTTTCGAGTATTAAGATCGCTAGGGGTTCACTTTGTAGCGTTATATTGGGCTCTCCTGCTGGTAAGATTTATTCTAAGCTTCGAGCTGTTACTGCCCGATTGAACAATATGCTATAATTTATTTTTAAATTATAGATCGCAATGTTTAAGTGTATTATTATTTTGAGCTGATTGGAAAATTTTGGCTGATATATGTATTGCGACTGATTTTTTTGGTCAATAATTTTATGCAATCCTAATAGTGGAATATATGTTCTATTTGGTTTAGCTTGGCTTAATGAATTGGTTTAGGTAAAAAAAATTGGGATTTGTTAGGGTTTTCCTTATACTATAATTCCTTCTTTTTTCTTCTTGATTTTTTCAATAAAACTGAACATTTTATACTAACTTTTGTTTACGTCTATGCGGATGCTACCCCGGTGAGCGGTGATATTCGAGAATGTACACTCACTTTGATAAAGGAAGAGAGCGAGGAAAGTACATACATTATTGTATGATTCACTTTATTTTTTCTTTTCTACTTATGATTTATTTTGTGGCGGTGCAATGGATTTTGATGTCACTATAGCTATTTTTATTGATTCACGAGTTTAACCTTAAAGCTTTTACTTTTCTCTCATGTCTTCTTCTGAGATTTGGTTACAATGTTTTTTTAATTTTTGTACTTTCTTCCATTCGCCTTTTGTTCTAAATGTGTTAACTCCTCCACATAGGGTAGTTCTCTCAAAATCGGTTACCTTCTGTGGTTCTCTTATGTTAGATAAAACTTGTTGTTGTAACTATCATTGGGGATGCATTTAGCACACAATCATGAAAGAGCTTAATTTAAACGTAAGTACACTCCTTTTATGCAAACATGAAATAAATTAATTCAAACTGTGAAGAGACATATGAATGTCTCGTTTTGAGTGGTGAAAAGCGTTGTAAACTACTTTTATGCTTTGTCTGTAATTTGTATATTATAGTTAGTGAAGTTTTATATAGCTGACCCCAACTTATTTAGGATTGTGATAGTAGTTTTTATTGTAATAAGCAAAAGGAATATATATAATGAGGATTACATGAATATTTAGAACCTACCAACAACTATTTTTTTACACATCCGAGGAGATGTTGCAGAAAAGGCTCTGCATCAAAAGAATATTACTATCTTAAAATATGGCTTCACCTGATTCTATTTAGTATTTACAATACAATTACTTTATTCAAGCTTTTCGATCATGCAGACAACTCTCTAAAAAATTTCAGTTGTTTTAGGTTTTTATGAAGCACTTAATGGACATAGGATTTGTTGGTAAAAATCTACAGTTCTTCCAGAGAAGTCGCTTCTTCAAATTTCAAGGTGGAAGGGCATAAAAGACTGCTTTGGTCCATATATCTCTACGCGACTTCAATGAATAATTTTAACTTGCCTCAGTTGGTACTATGCTATTGAGAAACCTACAAAGACTTCACCAATGAATGTCTTCCTGAAATCAAGTGTATTGTCAGGTAAAAAGTTTAACATGACTGGGATTCTTCTCTAATACCACTGAGATCCTTATACTTAAGAGTTTTCTGATGCTAAGTTTGTAGCGAAATATTTGGTTTCTTTGAAGAGTGAAAACATTTGCTAATCAGCATGACTCAAGGTATTGACTTCTCTCTTTCTTTTATTTTTTTCTTCTTTTTTGATCATAAATTTAAGCCTAAAACTTATTTAAATTATTCTGCTTAGTGTATGTATAGTTGTTGTAATCGTAAGGTTGTAATTAAGTTTGAGTTTATGCTTGACGGAAAAATAGTAGTAGTATTTTTCTCTCTAGTTGTTTACTACGATGGGAATTTTCTTAATAAGTAAAATCCTTTTTTTTTTCAAGAAATAATTAATTTGAAGCTGATTTTCAAGATTTATTGAGCTTGCAAAGGTTTCTGCTGGTAGAAGATTCTCTTACATTGTAGATTCAAGCATATCATATGTCTTAATGCTCGGATTTTTTTACTATATTTAGTTGTATTTGGTAGTGCATCCATATAAGTTGAAGCCCACATGAGCAACAAATTGTTGAAAAGACAAGGTGGTAATATAAAAATGCAATATAAATGGTTGTGTTCTTTTCTCCTTTTTTACAGTATATTGTTTATCAATCAATTATTAATATATGATAGTTTGCAGCTATACTATTTTTATAGTTCAGTTTTCTTTATTGTTGCGACAGTGCTTGCCTTAGCCGAGGGTCTTTTGGAAACAGTCTGTCTACTTGCATAAGGTAGAGGTAAGGTTTGCGGACACACTACTTTCCCTAGACCCCACATATGGTAATATACTAGGTATGTGGTTGTTGTTTTGTGGATAACTCTCTTTTAACGGTAATAATGCCACTTGAGATCCTTGCTTTATTTTTTAGAAGTGTAAGTCACGCATATTCCTAAAAGAGAAAACTTGAGCAATTCCCAAGCAGGAGTGCATTTTGGCTGCTGTTAATGATTAGAAACTAGAGTTGCCTTTAGATTTAGCAACTCTATCAGGTGGCTTTGATCTCAAACTAATTGTAATGAGGAACACTTTGTTACAGGTTCTTTCCCTGTCTATACAATTTCTATAAGAATTCAGAATTCAACTACCTCTTTTTATTTACTCTAAGATGCTATAAAATCATTTTATTGTTAATGTTTTACGTTATGTTTGGAAGCAAAATTTATGCAAACTAGTATTTATGGATTGTCGACATTTGTATTTTTTGCTTCTTCTATCTTAGTGCTTATTTCTTCTGTCTTATTAAAATGGACTCTTACTGGGTGTATCTTACTCTTTACCCTTTGTTAATTATTGATGTATCTTAAAATGTTTTCTTTTTCTTTTTTCTTCCCTCAGAATACTTTTGTGCCAGTTGAATATGTTGGTGAAGCAAACAAGCAATGGAAAGATGAAAGCAGTGAAGACTTTATTGAAAAGTATTGGTTTGGGATTGAGGCATAGTTATTATTGTTGTTGCCTGTTGGTCTATAAAGACCTATGTTCTAGGGAGTTTTTTTAATTTCAATTTTTTTTAACTTATGTATGCTAACTTTTGAATTGTCAAACATTATTTGTCTATTTTACATATGGAGAATATTCTTTGATTTTTAGATTATGATTTGTTGATTTATAGTTTTATTTTGTTATTTATATAAATTTTAGTGCATTGTAATTTATTGTATATGTAAATATTTATATATAAATAGGTGTATATCATTGTTGCAATTAAGCCATTGCAGTAGGCCACCAAAACCGTTGCAATAGGCCATAAAATATGTTTTAGAAGACAATGTAAGTCGTTGCAATAGGTCATGAAAACTATTCTAATAGGATATGTAAACCATTGCACTAGGTTATTCAAACCGATGCAATAGCTATTGCTCGACAATAAGAAACCGTAGCAATAGAGTAAAACCATTACAATAGCATTACAAAACCGTAGCAATATCTTTAATTAGCCGTTGCAATAGCTTATATGATCCTTGCATTAAAACTATGGTAACAGTTTTAAACTGTTGCAATAGCAAAAAAAACTCGCTGCCTCATGGGAAATAAATAACCGTTGCGGTAGATATGACTAAAGAAACAGTCAAAACTAACTGTTACAGGAACCGTTGCCGTAAAGCTACTAGCACGCGATCTATGGAATGGTCTAGAAACCGTTGCAACAGAGCTATGGTAACGGTTTAGGTGGATGTTGCAACGGTGTTATCTACGTTGCCATAGACCCATTTTCTGGTAGTGACCTCAATAGCCCAAATGGCCCTTTAAACCCGGGCATAACCCGTTTATAATGACCCGCCCCACCTTCCTCTGAATCTTGGTCGTTGATCTAAAATGATCAATGGACCGAATTAAAAACCCCACTCTCCTTATATCCCCTTACCCAAACCCTAATCCCCATTTCCCTTCATCAGCTGCCTCTAAGCACTCCTCCATCCTTCAGAAACCCTAGCCGTCATCTCAATCTTCTCCGAATCTATCTCAATCATGGATTCCTTCTGTGATTTTCTTACCTTTTATATGTTACCTCAGTATTACTTGCAAGACTATGGTGTTACTTAGTACTTGCCTAAACTTGGCAAGTACCATCTCTAAGATTCGGGCCCGTTCAACATCAATCTCTAAGATTTGGACAATATCTCATCCATATATACGGAAGAATAGTTGATTTCTCATACTAGTAGACGGATTTTAAAATGTTTAACCCTAATTAGGGATTGATTTTCGATTTCTTTCCTTTACTGGTTGCTTTATGATTGCATGTATATTTTTTTTTTCTTTGTTTATGTTTGATTGCTTCTTTCCTTATTTACTCGTCTGATTTAACTACTATATAAATCCCTCCCCTTTCCCCTTTGAAACAGATCTTTAATCACTAGATTCACTAAAAAATCAAAGCTAGTTGTTCTATCATTCTCTTGTTCTATACTTTGGTTCTTGGCCGGCTGAACGCCAAGACTACCAGAATTTAGTTTTCAACTTTTCTTGGTGCAAGCACTGCCCAGGGTGCATTTGAAGCCCTTGGAAACTCTAACGCACTATGATTCTGGGTTCTACTGCTCTTTGTTAATATTCAGAGTATTGTGGAGTTTGTTCTTTCTTGTTGTCTGTTTATTCAACTGATAATTGTTAGGTCTCTTGGCTTTTACAATTTTGTTCTTCTGTGTTCATGATTTGCATATTTATACCTCTGAAATTCGTGACCTAATTTTCTGGGCTATCTCTGTATGCAACCTTGTTAACGTTGAACTTATTTTGTGATTTGAACTTCCTTAGAATTTAATTTTGCCTAAAATTTTCAGTCCTGAGATATGTCATTTGTACATGCTTAACTTGAATAAATTAGGCTCTCTTAAGTTTGTTTGGCCTGATGTGTTGGTACCTGAACGTCTACCTTTACTGCCTACCATGAGTGGTTTCCCTACTTTGTTTTGAATTCTTGTAATGACTAGCTCGTACTTAGAATGTACTCTAATCTATATTGAGACCTTCACTCTAGCTATGACCTGCTCCCATGCTATTTTGTCACTCACTATGCCTTTGATCCACTTAATCTTGTATCATTAAGTGATTAGTTGGGACCTTTAGAGTAGCTATCTTAATTTGTGTTTTCTTACAATGTTTGATATTGTTTTGGTCTTACTGATAAGTTGGTATGTCTGCTTTCTGGTGTTGTGATGGATATTCAGCATAATTTGGACCCTTAGTTTTAAATCCTTTCAGCTCTACTTTAGACTCGTTTGGTATTATGTACCTTCGTATGTTAATCTTGTAATCTCTGAAATATTGATGCCCTTGTCTCTTACGAAATGTTTTCTGCCTAATATGCTTGGTGTTTGAACTTGTGATATCAACCTGTTTTTTGAGTTTTGTTGATTCTCTTTGCTTGTATGTTCTTTGTTTAATCACCCATGTTATATTTGCTTCTAAACTATAAGTGCACCTATTCAAATTGTATCATTTGATCACTATTCTCTCATCCTCATTTGTTACCTACACTATTCTGAATTTATCCCTCTTGGCCAGCTGAAAACAAGGCTACCAAAACTCTCTCTATTGACCTCCCTAGTGTGAGCACTACTCGGGGTCCATTTGAGACCCTTGTGAACTCTGACACACTACGATTTGGGTTTCTTTGGTCACTCTCTTTGCTACTGGAACTTGAGATGTTTCTGACATTTAGCTTCTCTTCTTCAAATTATTTGTATAATCTGCAAACTGGTTTGTTTAACTGACTTCTGTATAATTCAATATTTGGGTCATATGGTCAACCTGTGACTATTTGGTTTGGCTTTAGTTCCTCTATGGTTTTTGGGCTCTACTAATGAGTATAGTCCCATGTTGGGATCTGGGTATGCTATTTGTGAAGAAAGAGTTTGTTGAAGGCCCAGGCAATACTGGGTATCTCCTTTTGGGCTTACTGTAGGCCTATTATTATTTCTTGTGTAATATTTATATTTACATTCTTTGGGCCTGTAATAATTTGTAATAACAAACAACTTGGGGTGTTAGTGAAATTGGGGAAGCGGGTGTGTACAAGAATATCAACAAACGCAATGAATGTAAATTTCTCAACAAGAAGGATATCTTAACAAATAACAACTTCGCCTCCACGTGATAACGGTTTTCACAACTTCAATACCAATAACTAAACAATGAGAAAGATAATGTGTAACCACGATATTAAAGAAGAATAACCCACAAAGGAAGAGATAACGTGTAACAATGATTTCAATTGATGGTAATCAACGATGAAAAAGATAACATGTACAATGACTTCAAATAATAATACTCAACAATGAAAGAGATAACATGTACAATGACTTCAAATGATGATAGTCAACAATGAAAGAGATAACATGTGACAATAAAAGAGGCAACAAATTCAACTAAAGCATGAGGATAATTTATCAAGTAGGACGTAGAACAGTTATTAAACAACTCAGTTAAGACATGTAAGGGTAGACTAACACAAGAATAGATTGATTATGACAATTTAGAACATGATATAACATTTCAATTAAAGCATGGAAAGAGTCTAAGTAGCCTAAACCGGTCAAATAACACGTACTACCCGTGTACCCACTCGTCACCTTACGTACAAGGCTTTCACATAGCACAAGTGAATCAATCAATCCCAATTCTAAGAGGTAGTTCCTCCACATGAAGTTAGGCAAGATACTTACCTCAACTAGGCTAATTCGACTCTCGAAAATAGATTTTCCCCAAAAATTTGCCTCCACACAGCTTAAATCTGACCAAAATTGACTTAATATCATCAAACAATGCAAGAAAATTAATTACAATATATAAAGCTATGATTTTTATACTTTTCCTAAAAAGTCAACATAAGTCATTCCGGGGCCCCCCAGTCAAAACCCGGGTTCAAGGGTAGATTCCGACTATCTATAACCCCACGAGTCCATATATATGATTAGTTTCAAAATTCGAGTCCAAATCTACTCTCAAAACTTAAATTCTTATTTTTCAAAAACTTGACAAGGTTTCACAAATTTTCACTTTGATTCATATGAATTTGATGTTAAAATCTAAGATATATTGATTGAATATAGTTGGAAATAGATTAGAATCATTTACCCAAAGTTTGTAGATGAAAATTCCCTCTCTAAATTGCCTTCTACCGAGTCTAGGATTCAATAATGAGAGAATATATTGAAAAATCTATCTTCCAGCCCTTTTGTCCAGCTGCAGGGGTCACATTTGCGACACAGGCTTCGCATTTGCGAACCCTAACAACCTCAATCATTATCACAATTGCGACAAAAGTGAAAATCTCCCAAAAGCAAAAAAAATGTTCGCAAATGCGAACCAAGTCAAAAGCATGCTGATTTCGCAAATGAGAAGGGGCAATAACAATTGCGACATCTGAGCACCCACTGTCAGCTTCACATTTGCGAGGTTGGTTCCCACAATTGCAATATACTAAGCACCAACAATTCATTTTCAGTTCAATCCATTCTAAAATATGTCTGAAACTCATCCGAGTCCTCGGGGCTCCAAACTAAACATCCATACAAGTCTAAAAATATCATACAAACTTGCTCGTATGATTAAAACACAAAAATAACATCTAAAACTACGAGTCGAACCCTATAACGCATAAGTTTCAAAGTAAACTTCAAGAACTTCTAGAACTGCAACTAGTCTGAACCCTATCAATTCAACTCCAAATGATACTAAATTTTGTAGCCAAGTTCTAAATACCATAACAGACCTATTCTAAGTCCCAAAATAAAATTTCAAACTCGATAGCTAAAAGTCAATCTACGGTCAAACTTTTCAACTTCAAATTGCCAAATTTCGGAAAAACAACACAAATCAATATATGGACTTTCAAATTCAATTCCGTGTATATTCCCAAGTCCGAAATCATGATACGAAACTATTAGAGCCATCAAAATACCATTCCAGGGTCGTTTTCACAAAAGTAAAAGTTTGTTCAACATTTCTAACTTCGACTTCTACACCAGGAATCAAAGGGTCCAAAATAATCCGAAATTCTCCCGAAATGAAAATAACTGGCTTCACAAGTCATAAAACCATAAATACACATGTGTGAGGTATAAAAAGGGAAAAGAGGGTGCAATTACAAAAAATGATCGGGTCGTTACAAAAGAATATTTTATATATTCTAGAGTTCAAATACAATTTGCTCTGAGTTTCAAAGATTACAAAGGAACTTGATTGCTTTGTTGCCTTCTTTACTGAATTTTGTATCTCTCAGGAGCTCTTTACTAGGAAGGCAGTGGGGATTGGTAAAGAAGAATGTGGTATCTACGTTCTCAAGCCAGCAAGACAGGAAGGTTCGGTGAAGTTCTTAGACATGAGCTTGTGTCTTCTATCTAAGGGTGTTAAACAGGTGGGCCGGGCCGGGCCGGGTTGGGAAAAAATAAAACCGGCCAGGTTTCAATCTGGACCGCTTATGGGTTAGGGCTTACCGGGCTTAACGGGTCTGGATCCATCCGGATAAAAAATGAACCGTAAGGGTTACATGTTCAAGGGGCCGGGCCGGATTAGTGTTTTTTTTTTGTATTTTGTATAACTATTGTAATTTATATTAATATAAAGTAAACATATAAAGAATACAGTGAAGATGAAAAAAATTGCACTTATAATTTGCAAGAGCTTTTTTTATTTCAAACTTTCAAATTGAAGTTTGCATTTAACAATAAGTAAATTAACAAAAAAAAGAGTAAAACTAAATTTTCATTTCATAATAATACTTTAAATTAATCTAACAAACTAAAACATTAAGCATAAATATGTCTAATAATTTTAAAATAACACAAATTATCTCAAATCAACTTAAATACGAATTTCTAGAGGACGCTCAAGACAACTCTTCATATGCCTCCTTAAACAACCCGTGCCTACCCACCTTAGACGAAGATTTAAAACTAGACCACAGTTCTTACACTTTACTTTGTAAACTTTTTCATTTTCTTCTACCACCTCAAAGTGTTCCCAAACATATGAGTGCACTCTAAAAGTACGGGGCATGATTTAACTTGAATTGAGAATATGAGTTTGAGAAATGAGAGATGAGTGAAGAAATGAAGAAGGGGGTGCATTTATATTTTTTCAAAGGGATAAATTAGTAATTACAAAAAGTGTTATTTTATAAAAAAATTGCCCAAAAATGCTATTTGTGCAATAATAACGTTGGGCAACGGCCATAAGGCAGCTGACCGTTGCCAACGTTCTTCAACCTTAAAAAAATTGAAATCTAGCCATTAAACTGGTCCAGGCCGGGCTGGTTAACCGGTTCTAAAAGGATTTTGGTTGACTAGGTTTGACCGGTCCAGTTAACCGGATGAATGAAAGTGAACGGACCAACCCCCTAACCCCAGTAATCCAGCCCACCCGGCCCCCTATGTACCGGTCCGGGCCAGTCCGGGTTTCAATCGGTCCGGGCAGGTCCAAAAACGGGTTGACCCGGCCCGTTTAACACCCTTACTTCTATCACATTTGTAAATACTACTTCTAGTGATTTTAGTAAGAATAATACTATTGTGGTCAATTTGAATGTTGATAAGAGTTCTACTATTACCTCCATGTGTTATAAGAGGTTAGGGCATGCACCTCTTAAGGTTCTGAAGTGAACAAGTAGTTTGCCTAATGCTCAACTAAAGACTATTGTTGTATTGTTTGTCTTATTGCTAAACAAACTAGAGTGTCTTTTCCTGTTAGTACTTCTTGCTTTACTTATCCTTTTGCTATTATACACGCTGACATATAGGGGCCATATAGAGTCCCAACTCATGATCGTAAGAGATACTTTATGACTCTGGTGAATGATTTCTTCAGGTACACTTGGAAATTTTTAATGGATATCAAGGCTGAATATGTAGTGATTTTGAAGCATTATTTGATATTTGAACAGGATTAGTTGACTTGCAAAGTTAAATGTTTAAGGTCAGACAGTGTCACTAAATTATTTAATGAGTAAATGACTAGTTTGTTACAGGGTCACGGTGTCATTCATCAAAGCTCGTATATGTATAATCCTTAATAGAATAGCAGGGTTGAAAGAAGACATATGTCTATCCTTGATACGGTAAGAGCCTTGAGATTTTAGGTCTTTCTTCCGCTAAAGTTCTAGGGTAAATGTGTCACCAATGCTGTCTACTTGCTAAATAGATTACCTGATGTTTTTGTTGGAAGGGGTCTTGCCCTTTAAGATGTTGTTCCAGAGTAATCCAGCCTTGCAGCACCTGAGAATCTTTAGAAGTTACGCTGTGCAACCAATCTAAGGAAAACGATTTAGTCCTAGATTAGTTCCAACTGTCCATCTAGGATATTCCTCTGTACAAAAGGGATATATTTTGTATGATCTCCACAGTAAGGTTTTCTTTGTTAGTAGAGACACCATATTTAAGGAAGAGATATTTCCTTTTAAACATATGGTTTCTGATGATTCTCCATTATTTCATGTTATGAAATTCAGAGAAGATGACATCACTCTTCCTAAGTCTGACTGACATCTTTCTGACTCTTCTGGTAGAGAGTCTCCTTCTGATGTAGGGTCTTCTTCAGTTGATGTGCCTCCCTTGCCTGATTATTGTGAACATTCCACTTCATTAAATCCTACTCCTCCTATGGCTCCTCCTGATCTGAGGAAGTCTTCTAGAACTTTTAAGCCCCCCATATGGCTTAAAGATTATATTGTAGAGTCCAGAGGATCCTCTTGCACATATCCTATTTCTTAGTATGTCAGCTATAACAAGTTGTCCTCATGGCTATAGAGTATCCATTGCTGCCTACGTAGATGTGCTTAAGCCTAGATCATATACAGAAGCTAACACTGATCCCAACTGGATAGATTTTATGAAAGCTGAGATTGAAGCTCTTGAAGATAATCACACCTGGACAATTGTTGATCTTCCAGGGTAAAGTTCCTATTGGGTGTAAGTGGGTCATCAAAGTGAAGTACAAGTCTACGGGGGAGGTGGAAAGGTATAAAGCTCGACTTGTTGCTAAGGGGTAAAGCCAACTGGAAGGGCTAGATTACAAGGAGACTTTTTCACTTGTAGCAAATATGATAACTGTAAGGTCTGTAGTGGCTTCGGATGCAGCATCTGGTTGGTATATTTTTCAGATTATTGTCCATAATGCATTTCTTCAAGGTGATTTACTTGAGTAAGTGTTCATACGTATTCCATATGGCTTTGCCAGCCAGAGGGAGTTTCAACAAAAGATGTGTAGACATCATGAGTCATTATATGGACTTAAACAAGCCCCTAGGCAATTGAATTTGAAGCTGACCAATGCACTTCAATCTCACTATGACTATTCCCTCTTTAAACAAAAGGTAGGCTATGATCTAGTAATTTTACTAGTGTATGTGGATGATCTTTTGTTTAGTGGGAGCAGTCTGAAGCTTATTCAGAAGGTAAGGAAAGACTAGCAGTCTAGGTTCAAGATGATAGATTTGGGAGAATTAAAATATTTCCTAGGCATTGAGTTCTCTAGATCCAAGAAGGGTATTCTAATGAACCAAAGAAAGTATGCCCTTTAACTAGTGTCAGGAATATGGTTGGCAGGTAGGAAACCAGTGGGAACACCCCTTGAGTTCAACTATAAGCTTACCTCTGAGGACTTTGACAAGTTTATGAACAATGATAACATAGGTGCAATATGAACAGACACACATCTTGAGGATTCGAGTAACTATTAGAGATTGATTGGCAGGTTATTGTATCTAACATTGGCAAGGCCTGATATAGCTTTTGTTGTCAAGTGCTCAATCAACATATGCATGCTCTCAAACAGTCACACATGGATGCAGCTATGAGGGTTGTCAAATATATTAAAGGAACATTAGATCTAGGATTGTTTATAACAACAAAAAGAACCAATCAATTGATAGGATGCTATGATTCCGATTAAGGAGCATGTGTAGAAACAAGAAAATCAGTCACTGGATACATGTTAAAATTTGGTGATGCATTGATAGAGCACTATTTCTAGAAGTTCTGATGAAGCAGAGTTGGATTGTTTACCTGGCTAATTGGATTGTTTAAAGAGATTGGACTGAAGTACATCTACTTGTGCAGTTGTTCTGTAACAGCAAAGCTGCAATACAAATCGCAGCTCAACCAATATTCCATGAACGAACAAAATATTTTGATAGTGACCATCATTTTGTTAGAGAAAAGATTTAGGATGGGCAAATACAAACACAACACATTGAAACCAAAGAGCAGCTAGCTGATCTACTTACAAAGAATTTGTGTAAGCCACAACTAACTATCTGATAGACAAGTTAGGAATGTAGAACCTGTTTCTCCCTCGGCCTGAGGGGAAGTGTTGAGATAATGAGTTAGTTATAGTATTAGTGGAGCAATAGCTGTGTACAAATGTCAGTTAAATTAAAATGTAGTTAGCATATGTTAGTTAGCGGTTAGCACAATAGATGTAGTAGGCAGTTGCGTATAATTATCACTAAGTTCTTATGTTTGGTTAAACAATGAAGTCTCTCATTGCTTCCTCCTTTCGTCTCTTTTCTCTCTTCTGTTAACCGCCATTGCTGAGCATCTTCAACAGAAAAGTTTTAGATAGAGAAGTTAACTTTTTCCTTCTAGAAAGCTTGCTTTGCTAGACCTAGCTATATATGAGGAATGAACATCCTCCAGACCTCCACAATATGATTATTTATAACAAAAATATCTAATTTGAATGTAAAGTTCCATTGTGATATTTAGACCCACATAAAGTGCTCGCATCCAAATATGCCGATGCAGTTGAATCTGATTTTTTTTCTCTTTAAATTGGATTTCTACTACTAATACTACTTCAGATGAAGTCTAACAAATCCATAAATTTAAATTTGTGTCCAACAGTCCAAAGTCATGATGAAAACTCCCTTTTCTTGCATTAAAAGCAGAGACTTCTTCTTCACCCCATACTCGGAGTCCTCCTCCTTTTGGCGATTTTCTCTCTCAAAATTGTTATAAGCATTTTATTCTCTTCTTTTTGGGATCNAAGACTTGTCAAATGTTTGGAGTTGAAGGCTAAAGTTAAATCTTGATTGTTTTCACCTAGGTAAAATGTGGGTGTGTGTGTGCGTTTTTGGGTGGTTGATCCTATGTGTTTGCTGTGAAATCTGACATTGGTTCAATCTTTTGTTTTTTCTCCTGTTATAGGAGAGCAAATACATTTATGGGTCACTCATCATCAGAGCAGAGGCTGTGTAGTGTGAGATTTATTTTGGTTGTGTTGGGTTTGTGTTTGGTTCTTTACATTGTGAGACCACCAAGGCTGTGGCACAACTCTACTCTTTTGGCTTCATGTCCTCCTTGTTCTTGTGATTGCTCTCGGGATTCTATCCTCTCTCTGCCTTTAGGTCTGTTCATTTTCTTATATAACCTTCCATTTACAAAATCTACCTGTATCTAGTTTTCCTGTATTTCTATGCTTCTTTACTAGAGATAAAATTTATGGGTCATTACATTCTGAAGCATGTTACATTCACTTACACATTTATTTGATGAAGGAAGATGATGCTTTAAATTTGAAGTGCTCAACTGCTGAGAAAGTAGTAATTGCTGAAATTCTTGCTTCTAACCAGCAAAGCGTTTAATACATTTAGAGGCAATATGCCATTATCTGCAGCGAGCACGCGCTATTCTTTAGATATACACCGATTGATTTTGGTTTAATGTACTAATAAACCAACAGTTTAAAAGGAAAGCTATGATTTACATTCATTGCAGTGCTTGTCATCAAGATGTGGAATCGGTGAGAATTTAGAAAATTGTAGCTGCCTACTTAGCAGAACCCCACATTATCCCTCCACGGGGTTTATCTTTTTGTATTTGTTATAGTGAAAAATGAAGTAGAATCCTTTGTCCTTTCTTAACAATAGGAAGGAACCACATATTTCAACTGAAGGTTCTTAATGGTAATAGAATGTCCAAAAGGAAGTAAGTCAAGGCAGTGAAATGTACCTTAAAGTTTGATATTTGTTTGGCTATGGAAAAAGGCAGGAACTAAGTTTGATGTATCTTGAAACAAATGTTGCTGGCATATGGGAAAAGTTCTCTATACCTAACTAACTTCGGTTTCAATAATTTTGTATCAGCAAATGCAGCAGAAGTATTCAGGAAAGAAGTATTGCCAAATTATTTTTGGCTTATAAGAAGTGACCGTCTAGCCTTTCAAGTCAATAGGAGAGTTAGATTGATTTCTTTACATATAAATGTTGATTCTCCCATAATGACTTTCTTATTATTCAGTATACTGCAGTATACTGCAGAACCCCACATTATCCCTCCACGGGGTTTATCTTTTTGTATTTGTTATAGTGAAAATGAAGTAGAATCCTTTGTCCTTTCTTAACAATAGGAAGGAACCACATATTTCAACTGAAGGTTCTTAATGGTAATAGAATGTCCAAAAGGAAGTAAGTCAAGGCAGTGAAATGTATTGCCAAATTATTTTTGGCTTATAAGAAGTGACCGTCTAGCCTTTCAAGTCAATAGGAGAGTTAGATTGATTTCTTTACATATAAATGTTGATTCTCCCATAATGACTTTCTTATTATTCAGTATACTGCAGTGCTAGTCCTTTAGAGTTTTTCAAAGCAACATAAATAAGGTTTTAATCATGCTGGCACCATCCAAACTCTTATGGCTTATAGGAAAAATGACAAATTATACCTTTTCTTCATAGTTCCTCTTTCTTTTTCCGGCCTTTTTATGGTGGAAAACTTGTAGGAATTGTGCAAATGCTTATGTGTCGCGATGCAAAATTAGCAACTGTGATATTTTTGGTTCCAGATGCATATTAGTATTGGCTGTTATGACTTATCTTCGGTTTATGTGTTATTTTGCAGATGTCATCAACAATTCATTGGAAGGTTAGCTCACTGCTCTTGTTTCAAAGCCTGAAAATTGTCTTACGTAAAATTATACAATCTCAAGATATAAAGTGAAATGTTGCATCTTTAGTTTTCTGGTTGAAGTTTTTTGTTTTCTGCTTAAATATGTTTCTCTTAAGTTGTAGTGGACTGGGAAAAAAGGGGGAAAAAAAAGTTGTTCAGACAAGTTTAAGAATTTATGTGCCGAACTTCCAGAAATTTCGGAACTGCCCACACAGTTGTATGATGATTAGCTTTGGCGGGGGATTAATAATGCCACACTATGTAGGAGCCTTTAACCCATTTTTGCCTTTTCTATCAAGTTAGGAACCTAAGAATTCAGTAATTCTGTTGCCTCTGTTGCTATTGGCCCTGGGGAATTTCTCGGTTATAAAAAAGGAGAAAGAAAGCAGTAATTCCGTTAGATGATAGTTTGAGATTGTAGACAAGCTGAGTATATCACTGCAACTTGTATAGGACTTTGAATTGAAGGAGAGGAAGTGACCCGTTCCCGAGTAGGGATTTAATGCAGAATGGCTGCATGCAGTGGAGTCGCTCTTTATTTCTGTTACTCTTGTTTCAGCTGGTCTTAAAATCCCTTGCATCATGTTTTTTTTTTGTGGATGCAGACTGTGGTAAAGATGATCGTGATATGAATGACGAGATGAAGAAGGACATTATTAGTCTATTGTCAGGGGAAATTAACTTGCACAAAAATGTCACTGATGACAATCTGGAACACACCAATGCTCTAATTATGAGTGCCAAGAGAGCATCTTCACATTACCAAAAAGAGACGGAGAAATGCAACATGGGGATGGAAGCATGCGAGGGTGCTCGGGAAATGGCGGAAGCTGCATTGATTCAAGAGCGCAAGCTCTCGGCATTGTGGGAGATAAGAGCCATTGAGCTGGGATGGAAAGACAAGTGAAGACAGACTTTATTCAAGGAAATTAACCATTCAAACATTTTTGGCATATGCGTGGATATGCACCCTATTGACTAAATTACCCCTCATGTGAATACGGTTGCTGTTTTTGCCAATTAGGTTTCATTCTTTGTACTTGAGATTGTATTTCCGGTTAATTGGTCTTCATTCTTTGTTTTGTGGTGTCAGTAAAATATGCATGTGATTAATAGATTGTTGATAAAGTAGAAGTGCAGAGAACATAGTACAGTGTTTACCCCTAAATTAGGCAAAAATTAAAGTTGTACGCGGTTTAAAGGATACATGGTATAATTCAACACAAAAGTTAAGAATAGCAATAACTGAATTAAAGACGAAATAAACGATCAAACCAATCGCAGTGTTATGACCAAGCTTGATATTAGATTGAACAGTGGCCTCGTCCTCGATTGAACCCTCGGTTCGAGCCCAGACGTGAATTGAGAACAGAATAAGTAAGCAAGTTCTTAACAGTAGCCAAAAGGTAAAAATATACTTTTATTGCCATGAATTGCATGTTACAACATGTATTACAAAAGAAAAAACTTTTCCTTTATATAATAGAAGAGTTTCAATCCTAGTATAAGTCTAAAAAAGGTAAAAATCTTCTTTTCCCGGTAATTGTTGATCCATAATCGACATCGAGCGAGATTCACGCCGTGATATCCGATTGAGGACGGGTATTACGGCCGTTTATTCGTCATGCATAACCGTTCACCGTGTCTCCCGAGGTCTAAAACTTACACTCGGCCAGGGACGTGCCGCTTTACCATGTCCGATGTCGGATATACCGTTCATTCTTTCAGGGTATCGATATGAAGGGTCTTTGACCTCGACTACAATCTCGCGAATCTTTGCTCTCCCTCCATTCTCTCATCGGGGAATCGGGGTAGACGTTGCCCCCCAATTTTACCCGTGCACAAATAGTCTCCTCATTTCCGGAGGGTAAATTTATCGAAGCGACGGGAAGCGAAAAGTTAACCTCGGTTCTTTCATTCGTATGTTATGACTGAGTTGTTGGGTCAACGAAACGTCCCATCAGTCGCGTCATTTTGACTTCGGACACGTGTCAGCCGTCGATTGACTGTCCTCGAATGCGAAACGTCGCGCATTGATTGTTTTCCCCTATAAAAACTCCGACCCTGTTTCACTTCTTCAATTTCCGATTCTAGAATTCCTCGACTTACCCTCGAATTATCTACTTACCTTTTACTCCTCAAATCTTCATACATTGCTCCTTAGACCTTCATATCTTCATCCCCAATCTTCATACATTCTCTTTGAATCTTCAACCCAGATCTTCATATCTTCATCCATCTTCAAATCTTCATTTTTTTCTTCAAACCTTTATATTTCCCCGATTCCAATGGAAAAAACTTCCAAATCAATGCCTCAGCAAACTGCTCCTTCATCTTCCAACCCGTCCACAAACACCGAAGTGATCATTTTTTAGGTGGCCGAGGAGCCTCCCTTGAAGAGCTTCGTACTCGGGGGCTACTCCATCAGGAACGACTTCAACGTCGAGAAGGCCTCTAGTTAACATGACCGAGGTAAGGAAACATGGAGGTACATATGCTCCATTATCGAGGAAACAGTACCCACAGTCCGGGTAGACTTTAACTGGGAGGGCAAGGGGGAGGTCATCCCCGGGCCAAATGACAACATTACTATTCACGTGGAAGGGTATTTGATTGTTTATACATACCCCTTCACGCTCGCCCCGGTAGACCCCATAGTCCTCGACTTCTGCAAAAGGGAGGTGTGCTTTAGGCAAATTCACCCTTCCTTTTGGAGGACCTTAATCCTCCTCCGACACTTCGTGAACAACACTGAAGTACCTCGGCTCACCCTTGACCATCTGCTTCATCTATATAGCCCCCAAATCTTTCGAGGGGGGTTAATCAAGCTCGTTCACTGAGCAAGCAAGGCTCCATACTCGAGCATCGGCAAGGCCCTAAATCTCTTATTTGGCTCTCTTTCTATCTCTGATTATATTCGAGTTGTTACTTGTTGGAGGAACGAATTGAGTCGTGTGTGACTAGGTGGAATTCGGCATGGCTTGTCAGTCGAATAGCTTGTATTGGCTGAGATAAAATCATTAGACCTGCAATTAGTGAAATCGGACTTGGATAAGGTATGTTTGGATAATAATATCATTAATCAGCTTAGAGTTTGGCAATGGTTCTTGTTGGGAGAGAGAACTCCACGACTTGTTGATTAGGTGAGTGGTTATGAGTTTCTACATGTTTCTTTCATCATTCGCAGAGTACGAAGGTTTGGAACAAGGTTTTATTTGATATGAGCTTTGTTACCGGTATCAGGTTTGATATTGGGTTGCTATTTGTTACACCCCGTATTTGCACGTGAAAGTATGTCATAATTAAATTAATATAAGCTCGGAAATGAGATGTTACATCCCGTATTTTCGTACGTTAAAGTTTCGTCGTAAGTTAATCGACGTAAGCTTGGGAATGAGATTATTTTGAGGCTATACGCATTATGCGATTTCAAACAAGTAATAAGTAAATTCGTGAAGGTAAGAGGGTAAGCGAATCGAAGAAAATGAAATTCGTCAAAATTTGACATTTTGGGACAAAATACGGTCTGAACTATAATACCCGGTATTTATGGACTTATGCCCTACAAGGTACCACATGACCATGATAGTAAGGTATATAAGGTGTGCTAAAAATAAGTAGTACTTTAAGTAATTTGAAATGATTCTTAATTATGTGGGTAATTGATTAATTGTTGGATTAGTGGGAAATTTCCAAGTTAATTAGGAAATTGGTAATTTATTTAAGACATTTTGGATTGTCTTTTGGATAAAGTCTTGAAACCAATGTAGCAGCCAATAAAAAGCCCCAAAGAATGACTCTTCAATTAGGTGCTATGTGGCATATTTAATAGAATTGGTGGCACACAAACCTCAAAGTAAGGGATTATTACACATAAGTTAAGAGGAAAAATTCATATGCTTGCTAAAGCTCACAGGTTGAAGCTCAAAAATTTCAAGAATCTCTTTATTCACTATACGACTTCTAATTCACAAAGGAACGTGAATTAGAATTTGGCAAAGTAACGAATTTTGAGCAAAAATTTCATACAAAGTTACACTGCATAATAGCAACTGGATTTGCAATTCTAAGAGAGCACGGTACTAGCTTTCTCATGAACATCATACGGATTTTTTCCTACTTCGATCTGCCGTTATGTGTTGTCAGAATTGACGTGTGTTAGAGGGATTGTCAAGAAAATCGGCTCAAGTATGTTAAGGCTATCCCTCTTTTCCTTTTGGCATGATCTATACGATACAAATAAAACGAGCAAAATGCACAACTTCCATAAATGACTCTATTCATAGAAGTATTAGATATGCATATGTTCTTGAATTCCCATGTGTCTTATTATTACATCTTCTGTTCATGGGTCTTAGAAAAATACGTAAGTTGAAAAAAAGTTTACTTCATGATATTACTCAAAGGTATACTGGTCTTATGACATTCCGAGAGATTTTATTGACGTACTTCTCATGCATTGTATTCATTTATATATATACATTGACCCATGACCAGATGACGTTATATATACGTATTTATGTATATTATATGTATATGGGATATAGGAAAAGGTTACGGCGTTATATATGCACCACCACCAGATCAGCTGGTATACATTGATAATTTTGCCCACAATGGTTGAGATGATATGATGGGATGTCCTTAGAGGCTTGATGATGTTATGAACACATGTACCTATGCACGGCATGACATTCATACGCATATGTATGACACTATAAGTATTTCATGATTTACAGAGTTATCCAGACCTACAGCCAGTGCCATTTACTTCATATTTCTTCCATGTCTTTTATATACTTATTTATGTGCCTTACATACTCGGTACATTATTCGTACTGACGTCCCTTTTGCTTGGGGACACTCTATTTCATGTCCGCAGGTCCCGATAGACAGGTTGAGAGTCCTCCAAGTAGGTTATCAGCTCAGCAGAAGGTGTTGGTGCGCTCCATTTACTCCGGAGTTGCTTGTTTGGTCAGTTTTCTTTGGACATGTATTGATTGGTATGTCGGGGACCTGTCGCGGCCTTATGACATTTATGTACTCTTAGAGGCTTGTAGACATATGTCATGTATATAAAAGGTTGTATGGCCTTGTCGACCTATGTTCAATATACGAGTGATCATTTTGGCCTTACAGGCCCGTACATCATATGTATAAGTTTGTACTACATGTTGGGTCGTCCTATATTAAGTATTCCCTTATGTTTAATCTAGTTATCCCATGACGGCCCTTTTGGCCCAGTTACCAATGATAATACAATAAGAAATATACATTATGTTGGTACTCGGTTGAGTAAGGTACCGGGTGTCCGTCGCGGCCCATCGATTTGGGTCGTGACACTATTACGGTCAGAGATAGTGTTATGGGCATATGAGCGATGGGCTACATTATGTGGTTATATCTTTTGAATATATTTATGATTTGTTGCAGCGGGTTGAGATCGATACAGTGTGTGTATACGAGAATCAGATCTTAAGATGAGTCCTGGATATTGAAAGTTTGTTCTAAGGCTTATTGGTTAAGGTTAAAGGAAGAATCTTCAGTCGAGATTGTGTCGATGGGCTTTTATGGATTGAGGTGATATGGGATCACCCATTATATGTGTATGGCGGGTTTATACCGTGATTTGATGGCTTTGAAACGACTCTTGGCACGTTTCAGGACGAACGTATGTTTAAGTGGCGATGAAGTAAAAACTGGATTGGTCGCTTTGAACTTTAGCATTCTATTCGGCGGTTTGAGATTTTGAGTAGCTTCATATAATGTATTATGACTTGCGTGTATGGTCAATTTTAGTTTTCGAATGGTTTAGGATTGACTTGGAATACTGACGCTCGATTTGGAAGCTTTAAGTTGGAAGAGTTGACTAAAGTTGAACTTTTGGGTAAACGAACATGGAATCGAGGTTTAATGGTCCTGATAGGTTAGTATGGTGATCTTGGACTTGTAAGTATGTTCGAATTCAGTTTTGGAGGTTCCTAGAAGGATTCGACACTATTTATCGAAAGTTGGCTATTTGAAGAACTTAAGAGTTCATAAGTTTGACCAATAATTGACTTTGATGTTATTGGATTCCAATTGGTGTTCCGAAACTTTGCATAGGTTCATAGAGTTGAATTGAACTTGTGTGTAAAGTTTGGAAGTAATCCAAAGTGTGTAAGTGTGATTAGGACACTCTTTTTGAAGGAATGAAGATGTAACAACGTAAGAGGAATTCTATTCGGTTTGAATCCCGATTCTTTGTTGTAATGTTCTCGTAGGTATTTTGAGCCTTTGGATAAGTTTAGATAATGTTATTTTACTTTTTGGTATGATTGGATGGGGTCCCGAGGGGCTCGGTTGTGTTTTGGATCGTTAGTTGATAAACTCGTTAAGTTAAGGATTTGGAGTTTGACTACGGTCAATATCGGGTCAAGACGACATCTTTACAGTATTTTGAGTGCGTGAGTAGGTTCGTAACGTGTTTTATAACTGAAATACGTATATACTTTGTGTCCAGAAGGTTTTGAATGGGTTTTGGGTGCTAAAACAATGTTTTTGTCGTTGGTTATTTTTTTCTGGTGTAAACAATTCCGAAAATACTGATTATGTCCTTGAAATTTTCAGACTTCCTTTAAAACTTCAAAATATCATATATCCCTCATTTTAAGGCCAAAAATGGGTGATTCAAAAGGCTATCTTGGGTTTAATCTTGCAAGAATTATGTTGAGCTTATCAAATGTGTGTTTTGGGATCATCTAGGATTTGATTTGAGCTGGAACAGCTGTCGCATATTTTTACTTGTTCTAGAATTTAGACTTTTTCTCACAAGGTTTTGAAGCTCGGATTTGGGAGATTTTGGAGGAAATTTTCACAATTTAAATTGGGGTAAGTATTTTTGACTCGGATTTATTTATATTTCATGACTCCAACCTTGAATTTAGCGATTGTTTGATGAATCAAATTGATGAAATTGAGACTTTTAGTAAAAACTTTTCTAAAACATAAATTGATGATTTGAGGGCCGATTTGAGGTCGGATTTGGATGAAAAATATGTATTTGGACTCATATTAGAATGGGTGTTCAGAATTTATGAGTTTTGTCGGGTTCCCGGGTGCGGTCCCGGGTTGACTTTTCGATTTTAGTTAAAGATCGAAGCTTTATTATTTGAAATCATTTCCTATGGATTTTATACATGATATTAAGTTAATTTGGCTGGATTCGAGCCGTCCGAAGGTTGATTTGCGCGGGAAGGGCTTCTTAGAGTGTTGATTTAGCTTATTTGAAGTAAGTATCTTGCCTAAACATGGTTGAGGCGCTAGTTTCCTGAGTTATTTGTGATAGCAACGTGCTATAGGTGGCGCACAAGTGTGGGGATAAGACCATGTGCGTACACCGGGTATTATCCATGCTCGGATACTGCAGGCTATGATATGCCTTGAATTGATTGCTAAGCTTCTTGTTGTGATGCCTCTCTTATTTGTACCCCTGTTGTGAGCTAGTTGAGCCATGTTTCAGGTTACATAAAGGTTAATCTCCTTATTGGACCTGATAGTTGCTATTTAGTGATGTATTTACTTGATTTGAGTTGTGATATCACACATACACATGCATACATCTTAGCATGTCACTTATACCAGTCCAAGAGTATGAAATTTGATATTCATTGATCATACACATGTATTTTTGCAAATAGATTGGATTGATAGCATGTGATCACGTCGGGCGGATTATGATATTATGTTTGTGACCATGCATAGTGGATTGTGATATTGTGCATGTGGCCATGTCGGATGGATTATGATATTGTGCCTGTGACCACGTGGGCGGATTATGATATTGGGCTTGTGACCACGCCGAGAGGATCCGTGATATTAAGCCTATAACCACGCTCGGCGGATTATGATATTGAGTTTGTGACCATGCCGGGCAGATTATGATAGCACGTGAGTTGTCTGTGCTGCATGTGAATATGGATCCATCCCCCTAGGGTCACCCTCTCATGTGTCTTCTTGATGGTGTACACATGGATTGTGAGAAACCGACGAGTTTTTAGTTGATGTGAGCTCTGGGAAAGCTGGTTATTGGCTTGGTCGGTTACTGAGACTCTGATGTGGTCTTGAGAGCCGTAATGTAATTTATATTTGGATCGGGTTGCACGCCACAACAGATTTATTTGATTTTGCTATTGCATTCATCTTCACTTACAATTCCCTTGGTTGTTTCCTGATTTATTTGCATATCTCCTTTATATGCTGGATTGTTGAGTGAGCAGAGTACGTTAAGTTGTTTTATGCACCAAGATGGCTTATTCTATGATTCATAACTTGATCATACTATTTCTGTACTTGTTGGAGTTATAAACTGTATAGTAGCGAGCATCATTTATAATTCTTGCTTCTATTACCTTGCCGAGGTTAGTTTGATACTTGCTGAGTACATGGGGTCGGCTGTATTCATACTACATTTATGCACCTTGTGTGCAGATTTTGGGGCTGAGATGTTGTGGATGACGGGAGCTGGCAGGGGTGTACGCACAAATTTTTGTAAGCGGTGTCGAAATTTATAAAAGAATTAAAATATAACTTTGATTATCATAGAAATAACCTTAGTCTATTGATTTTGTTGAGTCTTAAGTTACAAAAGGTCCTGAGTATTTGCAAAAGAAAAATGTTCTAGTTGAGGTTTGAACCTTTTGACCTCTTAGAGAAAAATCAAGCACATTACCAACACACCAAGACACAATTTATGTCAAGTGGTGTCATTTTTTCCTAGTTATCTGTTTCCGTACAGTATTAATACATATATTTAGTAAAATTTTCCGACGAAGCGATGTCGCGTGACCCCGCTTCAGTAAGCATAAATCCGCCCCAGGGAGCTAGCACTGAAAAGGCACCTGCCTTCTGGACATAACTACCACTTGTCCTTGGTAGTTTTAGATTTGAATTCTGCTTATGTACATTTCAAACAGATGCTATATTTGTTTCATACCAGTTTTGTATATTTAGTCTTTGTGGCCTGTGACTTGTACTATCAGTCATTGGGATATTTTTTGGTGTAGTTATGTTTGGATTTTATAGATAACATCTTGGTTGGCATGACACGTGTAAGATAACCAATCCAACTAAAAAGCAAAAACCTGTAGTTAATGCCAAGAGTAACAAATTTTATGGAACTCCAAATTCTATGCAAATATCCAGGAAAAACGATGCCGAGATGGCAGAAACAATTTAGCAACTGATTAAAGAACGTGAGCTCTATGAATCATTATAATTTTTCTTGCTCCGTACTAACAAATTAGTAACACAACAACTCAGGTTCCCCACATAATGCTTTATATGGACATGTTGCAAATATTTCAGTATTCCTCAGCAAGTCGTGACAGAGAGGTGTATGTTCCCATGAACGCGCTGACTATCCCCAATAAGACAATGGCTACACTGAGTATGATCTGCATTTGTTAAAACCATCAATTAATGAAGAAATAGCAATTGACCAAAAGACATTTAATGTTACTAATCAACTTTATAGGTAATCGGAAGTAAACTCTAGCTAGTTGAATTTGCAATGGTGAACCACCTATTATTAGATAATCTTAACTCCATTTAGAATCATCAAAATATTATAACATAGACTCAACTGTCCAAGAAGAGAAGCCAGCTAGTATCATGGGGTAGTCATGGAAATAACCAAGTCAATAAGACCTGCTATGTCTCATGGTTTGTGGGATCTGTAAAGAAGGAAGTGATATAAGAGGCTCTAATCATGCAATCTTGGCCGTTTCAGCACCTATTAGCAAATGGAAAAAACATTTTTGAGCTGAATGGATTGAAATGGATTGGGGCCTGCAAAGGAATCCTTTAAGACACAATTGCCTCTGTGTTCGTGAAGATCTACCGGTATCCGTTGAAGTTAAATCCGCTTCAGCATTATCAACAATCACACAAAAGAAATTATGTGCCAAGTCTCTCCAAGAATTTACTAGAAATAGGATACTAGGAGTTTACAACAGCAGTTGACCCCAATGAACTTGCCACTAAGTTGTGCTTCCTACAATTCTAACCTCTGAGGGTTAGCATCCCATAGATCAGATCGTGAACTCTTTCAGACCCTTAGTTTCACTTGGTTGGGGCATGCCACTATTGGAACTCAAAGAACAAGAATTTCTATCCATAAAAGCTGAGCTTGGGATTATTTTCTATTATTCTTTTCTTTTTAAAGTACTGTAATAGTACAGTACAATTTTGTGTGCCCGGAAGAAATCCAATGTGCAAAACCAAAGACTGGCCCACTCCACTACCCAAACCAAGAAAAAAAAAGGGAAAAATGAACCAACTTACAATCAAATATGAAAAAGGATTTAAAAAGAAAAGAAGTAACCCGAAGAATCCACTTCTCTTAATTAGCAGTGGGACAAAATTGTAAGGCTTGAAATCATGAAAAAGCACGACCACACCTGAGCTATGATTACCTGATTATTTGTAGCCTTATTCCCCAAAATTTTCAGAAAGCACAAAGCTGGTATAATTACCGCCTGCATCATCAATCAAACATGTGATACAAAATTATCTCTCTCTAACAAAAGAATTCAAACATTTACAAGTGTTTGTCTGTGTGTGTATATGTGTGTGTTTGACAGCTTGTCGTGCAGGTGGCTGCAGTGTGTGTGAGAGAGAATAGAGTGTGAGGGGGGAGGGGTGTAATTTGCTGTTTAGTAAGTGAGATCAATTATTGAAGCACCTCAAAAGTATCAATGTAGCAGAAAATATCGATGTCTCAGTTTATATTGTAATAGGATTCATGATGTCTGCAGCGTTTGGACGCATGTAAGACGAACTGGGGACGAAAGCGGGGACAAGAAGTTGTACATGCTATACAAGGTGAGAGAGAAGAAGGCTTGCGACCTGAATCAAATGAGGTGCATCAAATATGAGGAAGACAAAGTATTGGTGGAAGTAGGGATGTGCATGGATCGGATCGGATTTAGCACATTTCGGATCAGATTTCGGATTCTAGAAAATGTAATCCGAATTAATATCGGATCGGATCGGATTATATAGTTTGGATCGGATCAGATTTTCAGATTTCGGATCGGATTATTATGCCTCAAAGTTGCAAACTCATATGTATATTTTCTTTGTAAAAGAGGCAATACAGTAAGAAAAATTCATGTTTCTGCAATTATGAGAGTACTATGGTGTCAATATAGCTAAATCCATCAATTGTAAAGGTAATAACTTGGAGGAAAATGTAAAGGAATTACTAACTATCCGAAATTAAAGTTTAGTATTTATACATGCCCTAATAATTTCGGATCGGATTGAATCGGATCGTATTAAAATTATACTAATCCGAATCTGATCCGAAATCCGAAATTTTTATAAACACAATCAGAAATCCGAAATTGAACGGATCAGTTCGGATTTCGAATATCCGATCCAAATGAACAGCCCTAAGTGGAAGAGACACTTATTAAAAGACGATGGCAGGCATACTTTCACAAACTCTTGAACGAAGAAGAGGATAGGAATATTGTGTTGGATGATTTGGAGCACTCTGAGAGTCATCTAGATTTTGGATGTTGTAGGCGTATTAATATTGCGAAGGTTGAGCGGTCTATACGTAAGATGAACAAGGGAAGAGTGGCTGGGCCAGACAAAATCCCAATGAAGTTTTGGAAGAACGCAGGCGGGACAGACTTGGAGTGGCTTACTGGGTTGTTTAATGTTATTTTTAGGCGAAGAAGATGCCCGAGGAATGAGGCGGATCACGATGATTTTGGTGTACAAAAATGAGGGTGATATCCAATATTACAACAACAATAGGGGTATCAAGTTTGGGAGAGGGTGGTGGAAATGAGGATAAGGAGGAGTTTGTCTGTTTCTTAGAACCAATTCGGATTTATGCTGGGGCGATCGATTATGGAAGGTATTCACCTTGTAAGGAGATTGGTGGAGCATTAGAGAGAGGGGAAGAGGGACTTGCATCTAGTGTTCATTGACTTAGAAAAAGCTTACGACAAAGCCCATAAGGAGGTTCTATAGAGATGTTTGGAGGCTAGAAATATTCTGGTAGCGTATACTAAGGTGATTAAGAACATGTATGATGGAGCTAAGACCCGCGTGAAGACAGTGGAGGAGACTCGGAACACTTTCCAATGATGATGGGGTTGCACCAGGGATCAACCCTTAACCCATTTTTATTTGCCTTGGCGATAGATGTCCTAACATGTCACATTCAAAGGGAAAATGTCGTGGTGCATGTTATTTGCTGACAATATAGTATTGATTGACGAGACACGAGGTGGTGTTAACGCAACGTTGGAGGTTTGGAGACAGACCTTGGAGTCAAAAGATTTCAAGTTGAGCAGGACCAAAACAGAATATTAGGATTGCAAGTTCAGCGATGTGGCGTATGAGGCGGATAAAGACGTGAGGCATGATTCACAAGTCATCCCCAAGAGCAAATTTCAAGTACCTTGTGTCAGTAATCCAAGATAACGAGGAGATTGACGATGATGTCACGCACCATATTAGAGCGAGATGGATGAAATAGAGGCTCAATTCCTGTGTTCTATGTGATAAGAATGTACCACTAGAACTTAAAAGGTAAGTTCTATAGAGTGATGGTTAAACCTAACTTGTTGTATGCGGCAGAATGGTGGCCAGTCAAGAAATCACATGTCAACGAGATGAAAGTGGCAAAAATGAAAATGCTGAGATGGATATGTGGGCATACCATAAGAAAAGATTAGAAATAAAGATATTCTGGACAAGGTGAGAGTGCATCCGTGGAGGACAAAATGTAGGAAGTTAGGTTGAGATAGTTCAGGCATGTGAAGAGGAGGGGCACAGATACCCCGGTAAGGAGGTGAGGTTGGCCTTGGTAACCATGAGGAGAGATAGAGGCAGGCTGAAGAAGTATTGGGGAAATGTGATTAGGCAAAAAATGATACAACTTCAGCTTACCGAGAACATGACTCTTAATAGGAGGGTGTGAAGGTCAAGGATTAGGGTAGAAAGTTAGTAGGTAATTGAGCGTATTGCTTTTCCATACCAGTTATATTAGCATTATTCTTGTACTTCCTTATTTGTAGTTTGCTTTTACTTCCTGATATTTTTTTCGCTTTGCTTATTCCATTATCATATTAGTGGTACTTCTTTTTCATCATTCCTTGAGCCGAGGATCTATCGAAAATAATTTCTCTACCTTCACAAAGTAGGGGTAAGGTATGTGTACGCACTACTCTCCCCAGAGCCCACTTTGTGGGATTACACTGAGTTTGATGTTGTTGTTGTTGACTACGGAAAACCCACGAAAGTGCATTAACTAAGGGAAAACTCAAATTAAACTATATTATCCCATCAGATGTTCGCCAGAAAGGTTTCTCCGACAAGCTTCTGTTTTCTCCGTCAACCTCTAACCAGATTCATATCTCTCATCTCAACCTCCTTTCTCGTGGTATTACAGTGCCAAAAATCATTACAATTAACTTGCAAACTAATTTATCAAGTTGAAATATTGGGGTGAAGGATGGTACTGAACGAAGGGAGTCTTTGGGAAGAGATTTTGACACAAATATAATGAAGGAGACGAAAATTAAAAAAGAGAGAATAAGGAAAAAGAGTAAAAATAAGAAAAAGAAAAAAAAAGGAAAATTCAAATTGAATCTGATGTGGGAATACATGGCAAAGACATAGGGAGAGTGTGCAACACCATCCACCATGCGACTGGTTGTATATATCTCAAAGAGGTATTAATTCACTTCGGACAAGAATAAGGAGGTATTAGGTCGCTCGTAAAGGTTAAGTGTGTAACTGACTTTTCCGAACAACCGTAAGGTGCAACTTATGTCTTTTCCTTGAAAAATATTCATCACCAACTTAGCTTCTCATTTTAAGTAGGCAAAATGGCATCGGACCACCTAAGCTTGTAGCTGTTGTCATACCGGTATATAAATTTAAAACTTTTCAATTTAAACACTTCAACGCATACATTTGCACAATATCAAACCCTTCCGTCCATCCGACCATAGCGCGTGTATTACAAAAATGCAGACGCGGGCATCTAATCAGCAAAAGACCACTAAAATTGCTACACGTCAGGGGCGCCAANTCCAAACTCCATCACAGGTGAGAACTAAAGTTCTTCAGTTATCTATAATAGAGCAAGAAGAGACAAGAATAAGCAAAGAATAAAAAGAAGCAGAGAAGAATAACTCTCGCCCATGGCTCTAATGGCTTTGAACTCTTGAATTTCTTGTAAAGTTATAAGTGGGTCATTGGATTTAAGAATGTTGGAGATGGGTTTCCACTAATCTCTGCTTTTGAGTACAAAAATTACACCTTTTGGAATAAAGTAAAGAATTCCAGAACCTGTTGCTCCCACTATTACTACAACTTTTGGCTTTGAATTTGATGTGCGGTTGAGGTTTATTTCAAGGGTTTTGCATTTTCTCATGGAAATATGTGAATCAGTGGGGGAAGAGGATTTGGAGGAGAGGAGGAGAAGGGAGCAGCGGAGTGAGGGATTGGAGAAGATGGAGTTAGGGGATCGAAGGCACAGAAGGAAGGAAGAAAGAGAAGAGGGAAGGGTTACGGAAGAAACGAGGGGTTTGGACCCCCCTCCCCCTCCTTTTTTTTGTCCTTTTGTTCTTTTATCAACTAAAAGATCAAAATAAATTATATTTAGGCGCCTTATAGCAGTGATGTGCACGCATTATTTCCATGTCAGCTACACCTCCTCCACATAAGTATGGGCGACCGTCAAAGTAGTTTATAATATTCTTTCATCAAGTAAGAGTGCTAAAATGGGAAAATTCTAAGTTTATATACCGGAATGACAAACTGGTGCAAGTTAAGTGGCCCGGAAGCCATTTTGCCTTTTAAATACAACAAATAACAAGCAACTCTAGAGAAACACTTTCCTATTGAATGTCAATCTTTCGTTGGAGTCAACAAATGTAGCTAATGGAGAACAGAGTAGTTTTATCCTTAGTCAACAGAACAACTCCCATCCTCAATGGGCAAGTTCAGAAAGGAAGGCCATTTGAAATACAACTTATCCAAAGGGAAGTTACATCTTAACAAATATTCAATGCTTTAGAAGTATCAAACCACTCAAGCAGCAAAGTTACAACAATAACTACCCAGTATAATCCCACCAAGTGGGGTCTGGGGAGGGTAGGATGTACATAGCCTTACCCCTACCCTTCCAGGGTAGGGAGACTAACCAGTTATTACTTACATATATAAATGACTGACCGGTTCGCTAGAGGGGGGGGGGGGGGGGTTCCA